CCCCCCCCCCCCCCCCCCCCCCCCCAAAAAAAAAAGGCCAGGGGTTGAAACGGCGCATTCGTGCCCGCCCGACAAAAAATCACGAGGACTAAAAAAACTTGTTAGCCCCGCGCTCGAGGCCGGACCACTTAAGGTTTCAAATTTTTGAAACCTGTTGCTACACTATGCAGGGCGCGGCTGGGCCTCTTGGGTGGGTTTCCGGTCGGTTGCAGCCATTCCATCGAGGACTGCCATTGCCGTTTGAGGGAGAAGCTGCCACCGTGCTGAAGTGCCTCCATCTCGCTCTTGGAGGGAGGAGTGCCACCGTGCTGCCGTTTGAAGGAGGAGCCGCTGCCATCAACCGGTGAGTATCACTGGCCTTGGCATCCCTTTCCTCCTCCTCACTTCCTCCTCCGCATGCTTCTCCTACTCCCACTCGTCCTCCTCCCCTTCCTCCTCCTCAACTCTCCTCCTCCTCCGACTGTCTTGGCCTTAATCTCCTGCCTCGTCTCATCCTCGTCTCCATCATCTCCCTCCCATATCTCCTCCTCCTCCTCCTACCACTCGTCACTTTTCCTTTCTGTCCTCCATCTGCCCTCCACCTTTCCTCTATGTCTCCTTCATCTCTCCTCCACCTGTCATCCACCTTTCCTTTGTCAATCTTTCATCTCTCCTCTATGTATCTCCCATCCTATCCTCCATTTCTCTTCCTTCTCTCGCCATCTCCCCTCCATTCTCTCCTCCATATTTCCTCCTCCTCCCCACCATTGGTGGAATCACAATCATCGATTCATCTACCCCCCTTTTGGTCGACACATCCCCGCCATACCCCCTCTACCTTCATCTCTCCTCCATGCCTCCACCTTTCTCCCCCATTTGTCCATCTCTCCTTTCTACAATCGTGTCCAGAGCTCGGTTGAAAAGTCCTAGTGTGAAGCAGGACTTCTTAGACTGAATCAGGACAGAACTCCTTCATCTCCCTCCCATATCTCCTCCTCCTCCTACTACCACTCGTCACTTTTCCTTTTTGTCCTCCATCTGCCCTCCACCTTTCCTCCATGTCTCCTTCATCTCTCCTCCACCTGTCATCCACCTTTCCTCCGTCAATCTTTCATCTATCCTCTATGTATCTCCCATCCTATCCTCCATTTCTCTTCCATCTCTCGCCATCTCCCCTCCATTCTCGCCTCCATATTTCCTCCTCCTCCCCACCACTGGTGGAATCACAATCATCGATTCGTCTACCCCCTTTTTGGTCGACACATCCCCGCCATACCCCCTCTAGTAGGCCTCTACCTTCATGTCTCTTCCATGCCTCCACCTTTCTCCCCCATCTGTCCATCTCTCCATTCTACAATCGTGTCCAGAGCTCGGTTGAAAAGTCCTAGTGTGAAGCAGGACTTTTTAGACTGAATCAGGACAGAATTGTGTGCAGATACATCCAGGGAAATCCCAAGAGCTGCGAAAAAAACAAGAAGAACATTAACACAATGCGAGGGAGAACAAGAGGTCCGAATGATGTTCCTTTTGCATGAGAAGAGGGAAGGAGGGAGAGGAAGAGGAGGGAGGTGGGGGGATAAAGAAGGGATAGAGGATAGACAAACTACATAGGTAGCACCACCAAAGCAGAAGAAAAAATAATAATAATAATAAATTGTGGAGTGACAATGAAGGATTCCATCAAAGGATCAGCGGGTGGGTCCTTGTCATTTGGAGTCACTGTGGTGGGGGAACAGTCGGGGCGAAGTGAATTAGAAGTGGACGCAAAGTGGAGGTTGATTAAAGGATCACTAGGTGTTGAAGTTGTGCACGAAGCGGAGGTTGATCGGTCACATCGGCACTCATAGCGGCTGCTAGTCGTGTGAATGTTGCACAGGTGGCTGCAACTCGCTCCAGTGCACATGCAATCCTGCAGCACTGTAAACTCGTCGTTGCAGTGGAAACAGCGAACTCGGTATGCACTGTTCCTGGATCGAGTGTATCGAGAGCGACGACGTCATTTCATGAGAGAAGGTTAACATCGGTCGTATTTTTCATCACCACTTCAGGACACCCTTCACCACTTCAGGATGCAGCCTGCCTAGACAGGTGGTTTTCAGGGTCTTCGGACCTTTCACCACTTCAGGACTATTCAGGTCTGAAAATCCTGAATGGTCCTGAAGTGGTGAAAGCTCCAAAGACCCTGAAAACCACCTGTTTAGGCAGGCTGCATCCTCAAGTGGTGAAGGGTGGTTTTCATGGTCTTCGGACCTTTCACCACTTCAGGACCATTCATGATTTTCAAACTGCCCAAAACTTTCACTTGACCACTTCAGGACACCCTTCACCACTTCAGGATGCAGCCTGCCTAAACAGGTGGTTTTCAGGGTCTTCGGACCTTTCACCACTTCAGAACCATTCAGGATTTTCGGACTGCCAAAAACTATCACTTCAGAATTTTCATTCCTGAATTTTCAGCTACCCGATAACCGCTTGTGCAGGGACACAGAAAACCTCTGTCTGGGAGGTGGCCATGGAGATGGGGTAAGTCGGCCTCGATGAGGCATTTAGTAGTGCTACCCAAGGGGAGGGAGGAACGAAAAGGGGAAGGGCAGGAAGAAGTTCTACAATCGCGGAGAGGGAGGAGGGAGAAGAGGAATAGGAGGGACACGGAGGGACGAAGTATACAACAAAGTAACATACCAAGCCGATGCTTTCTAGCTCCTGCTAGGTGTTAGGAGCCAGGGTACTGCTCCCCGGGGGGTAATCCAAAAAAAAAAAACAGAACCCTTGAGTGTCCTGTGCTGAGAAGGTGCATACATACAAGAAAAAATATACAGCTATCCCCTGACGAGGAGAAGACAAGGTCCGTTTCTCCTTGGGGAAAACCAACCAAAGGAGATTCATTCACTCAGTTGTTCATTCGTGGATCGAGCCGGACTGGACCTTGACTCAGCTGCTGCTTCGTGTGTGTGTCCATCTCCTATCTCTCTCTCTCTCTCTCTCTCTCTCTCTCTCTCTCTCTCTCTCTCTCTCTCTCTCTCTCGCCAATTCCGCACGTGACCTCCGCACGTGCGTCACACTGGTATCGGAGCAGAGTCTGGACCTCTGCTCCCTCCCTCCCCATTTCCGGTAGCTATCTGCAGTGCTCCTTGCAGCTGCACCTTGGCCCTGATTGTGACCCGATACATTCATCATCCAAACTGGCAACTTGATTGATTTCGGCCATCTCCAGCTACCCGGTGTCATCTCCAGCTGCGTGTCAACAGTCGGCTTCGCTGTTCCACTTCCTGCAGTTGCGGAGAGACGCTACCATCTGAAGGAAGCAGAAGCCATACTGCTGCCATCCAAGCCCCGGTAGTCCCGATCCCCACTTCCCCCCCCTACTTGACTCCCTCCCTCCTCTATTGGCTGCGCCCTTCTGCCCGCAGCTAAGCACTCATCCCCATTTCCCAATCACCCCACCTTCCCCCAACAATTGTGCCCCGACTTCCCGATCCCGATCCGGATCCCACCCCCCTCCATCGGTTTGACATTCCCCCCCTTCCCCAAGTGCATACCAGACCCCAATCGCCCAATCCCAATCCCAATCCCCATCCCAATCTCGATCCCAATCCCCATCCCAATCCCGATCCCAATTGCGTACCCCACC